AAGGAAAGGAAAGGAAAGGAAAGGAAAGGAAAGGAAAGGAAAGGAAAAGAAAAAAAGAGAAAAGAATCCCTGGAGTAAACAGTAGAGTGGAATCTGCTGCCCAAGGGACAAAGTGCTGGTTCAGAGGTGGATTTATACAGAATTAAAAAAAAACAAGGAACTGGGCTTCTATACTTTGGAGACAGGAGGATACTAACTTCAAGGCCTGTCTGGGCTACAAAGGGAGTTCAAGACCAGCATGGGCAACTAGCTTAGTGAGACTGTCTCTAACCAAAGAGTGAAAAGAGAGTAAGTAAAGCTGAGGGTGTAGTGTAGTGACGAAGTGCTTTCCCAGAACGTGCAAAACCCTGGGTTCAATCCCAATAACACATGCACGCACACACACACACACACACACACACACACACACACACTTGCCCAGAATGTGAAAAACCCTGGTTCAATCCCAGTAAGTAACACACACATACTGACTAAGGAAATGTCTGCTTCATGTATACTCATATTCCTGTACAGAGTTCAAATTCTATACAAAATATCACCTATGCAAGAGCAATAAAACGTGTCTGTGGACAGAATTCCTGAACTGTTCTTTTTTCCCCCAAGAATAAAAAGATTTATTCATTTTTTTATATGGTAGTGTTTTGCCTCAATGTATGTCTGTGTACCATGTGTTCAGTGCCTGCAGAAGCCAAAACACTGTGTAGAAACAATCCCCTGGGACTGGAGTTAAAGATGGTTGTGAGCCAGCATGTGGGTGCTGGAAATTGAATCCAGGACCTCTGGAAGAGCATCTGGTATTCTTAACTATTAAGCCATCTCTCTGGCCTCTTCTGAATTCTTCTCAATTGCAAATCCACGCAGCTCAGAGCTGAGTTGTTCTCTAACTCTCTTCCCTGCTACCCAAGCTAATAAAGCAGGGTAGCCATCACCATCCCTAGGACCTAACTCTGCTCGTTCAGTGAAACTCTGATGAGTCAACCTCCTATCCTCTGGGACAACATGCAAAACATTCGTAGCGGATTTTCCTTTCCCTGCTTCTGTGCCTGTGCACACGGAAGCCTTCCTACTTAAAGCACAAGCACTATTAAGAGGGAAAAGAAAACTCAAGTCTCAGATTGGGAAGAAAATATTCACCAAACGCTTATATGATGAAGAGGCTCTGAGTCAAAAGACACAAAGAATGTCTAAAATACCATGATGAGAAAACAAACAACCCGATGTCAAAATGGGCAAAAAACTCTGACACTGTATCTGGCCAAAGAAGGTATAGAGGTGG